ATGAATGAATGAATACCCCTATATATTATAGACCCCTAAAAATTTTGGAGGGAATGTGGTGTCAGCGTAAAAAGATGTATTTTTTATTATTCATTCATGAACAGAAATATATATATATATTTTTTAATATAGACTTTTTTGATTAAAAAGATAAGGAAAAAAAACGACTATTTCTTTTCCCGCATGCACTGAACTGCTTGGACAACACTGGAATACATCACATCTGGTCAGCCGGTCACATAAGGGTCTATTTGCAGGAGTTCAAATAATTCAAATTATTTGCAGGACAAATCAGATCCGAATTTTCCGCATACAGAGATGATCGGAACTCCACGCAGCTCCTGGACTACTTTCCATTGACCACTCCTGGGCTGCGTATGAAACCGCATACTTCCATACTATACAGTACACTAAAATCAATATGCGAGCCGAGTAGTAGGTCCCAAGTTATAGAAGTTGAAGTACCAGAATGATTTACTAATTCCGGCGAGATTCTGAAGTGCGTATCCCATGCACGCTGCGCTATCCCATGATGCCCCGTGAGAGAATTCAGGAATGGGAGTGAAGCGATGCAAATGATGCATGACCATGACAAAATGGTAGATGTAGTATTAACAGACTCAAGCCTCAGTTAAACTACAGTGATCTCCGATCCCTCAGGCAGCAGTGCATCAAGAATCCTCATAGCGATATCACCACATGGGCTCAGGACTAGTTTAGCAAACCTTTGTCAAGTACCACAATACATAGTTACATCCACAAATGCCAGTTAAAACTGTACTGTGCCGAAGGAAAGCCCTATGTTAACAGTGTCCAGAAGCGCCGACTATCATATACACTTTTACATGTTAATAGACAATGACTGTATTAAATTCGTTCAGGAATCAGTGTAAGAGTGTTGAGCTGTGCTTAAGCGGCCGCTATAATGCGTGTGCTTCAGACAGATTTAGTGGCTCAGGTGTTTCTCAGCAGAGTTTGATTATCAGACAGCAGCTTCCACTGAGTTTGGCATCTTCTCCTCTCTCAGAGCTGGCTTCATGTCAAACGCTGAACACACTCTTCATCTGCTCTTGTTTTTGTCCTCTCGAGTGACGGCAGGCTGACGGGATGCTTTCATATTTGAAGTTAATAATCACAGTATATTGTGTTTCGCGTGCTGTTTATTCCATCTGAAATCAGACACTGGGAGAAAGATTAAATGTTGCATGGGGATATACACTACCTGACAAGAGTCTTGTCATCGATCCCAGTTGTAAGAGCAACTTGACTTCTAGATGATCATTTGGAAAAGTGGCAGAAGGTGGATTTCTCTGTTGAGCTGCATCCCAATCATCACAAATACTGCAGAAGACCTACTGGAACCCGCATGGACCCAAGATTCTCACAGATATCTGTCAAGTTTGGTGAAGGAAAAATCATGTTTTGTGGTTACATTCAGTATGGGGGTGTGTGAGAGATCTGCACAGCAGCCTGAGATATCAATACATTTGTGCTGCCCATTACATTACAAACCACAGGAGAGGGCAAATTCTCCAGGATAGCGCTCCTTCTCATACTTCAGCCTCCACATCAAAGCTCCTGAAAGCAAAGAAGGTCAAGCTGCTCCAGGATTGGCCAGCCCAGTCACCAGTAATGAACATTATTGAGCATGTCTGGGGTAAGATGAAGGAGGAGGCATTGAAGATTAATCCAAAGAGTCTTGATGAACTCTGGGAGTCCTGCAAGATTGCTTTCTTTGTCATTCCAGATGACTTTATTAATCAGTGATTTGAGTCAGTGCAGAGATGTATGGATGCAGTCCTCCAAGCTCATGATGGAGTCAGACACAATATTCATTCTGTTTCCACTGCAGCAGGACTTTATATTCTATACTGGACATTATTTCTGTTAAGAGACAAGACTCTTGTCTAGGCAAAATCAGACCTTACTGTCCTAATTAAATCAGTTAAAATCAAGGCATTATCAAATTTTATTTTGGTAAAATAAGCGTAATCTAGAGGCCTTTGGCTTTTACTTAAGCCACTTCTGCACCATGCCTCAAACACAAACAGATAATAACCAGATCATATAGAGAAAGAGCGAGAGAGTCTCAGTGCAGGTGATAATATTAGGACATTTATCATCTCGATGAGGTTCTCCTCTTGTGTCTGCGGGACGCTTTACTCTGACAGCAGTGACTGAGACTCATTTCCAGAGTCCGGCAGGCTCAGATCTCCACACAGATGCTCAGGCCTCAGGTCTGATCCACAAATCCTTTAACACTAACACTGCTCTGGGGAAGACTATTTATAGAGGGAACACTGCAGAGTGTGTGTGTGTGTGTGTGTGTGTGTGTGTGTGTGTGTGTGTGTGTGTGTGTGTGTGTGTGTGTGTGTGTGTGTGTGTGTGTGTGTGTGTGTGTCAACAAGGACTGAACTCTGATTCTAGGTGTTACAGTAAGTTTACTGTAAGTAACACTAAACACTAGAAGTGAATATAAGTGAGTGGATATAAGTATGGAGAGAGAGAGAGAGAGAGAGAGTGTGTGTGAACAAGAAAAAATATATATATAAATCAAAGAATTACAACAAAATATAGCCAAAAAACCTTTACCCAAAGAAACTACACTGCCAGAAATAAAGGTACGTGATCTGTCACTGGGGTGGCATATTAATACCTAAAGGGTACATATTAGTACCTAAAAAGTACAAAAGTGTTCCTCTTAGGGTGCTTTCACACCTACACTTTTGTTTCGGAACGTATCTCGTTTGTCCAGTTAGCGCGGTTCGTTTGGCATATGTGAACAGGTCAATCGCGCTCTGTTTCGCGCCAAAGTAATCGCTCCGAGATCGCTTGAATGAGGTGGTCTCGGCTCGATTGAAACGAACCCTGGAGCGGTTCGATTGTAGTGAGAAAGCGATCCGATCGTGGTTATATCACTGTGTTTTATGGATATGTAATAGGCTTACGGCTATATGAAGAGAGAATTATCAGTAGGGCAGGAAGTTTTGCGAGTCTCCGGATGCCCGCAAACGAGTGATGATCTCCCGGTAATCTCGCGTCTCCCTCCCGGTCCTCAAATAGGCATCGTCGCGCACCCTTCTCACCCTTCCCCACCGCATCTCTCCTCAGACACGTCGCGCGCGCGCACCCTGTCAATCACCACCAAACCACCACCTCTCCTGACAGCTGAGCGGGACGCTGCAAAATAAACCCTGACACTCTGACCAATGTGAGGAGAGTTTACTCGCACGTGACTTGTTTTAGCTCTTTTGGTCCGATTAGAAACTTTGCAGTGTGAAAGCGAACCGCTCCAAGAGCAAAGAGCAACAATGTAACATTTATAATCTCTGTTTCGGAACAACTGAATCGATTCACAGGTGTGAAAGCACCCTAAATTTTTTTAGGTACTAATATTTACTTTTAAGGTACCCATATGAACCCTTTAAGTACAAATGTGTACCTTTCGAAAAGGTACCACCCCAGTGACAGCTTGTGAACCTTTATTTCTGAGAGTGTTTCTGTTTTCTCGCTAGTGAATGCAACTGACTCTTAAAGGGAATGGGAGATGAGACTCTGATTGGTTTATTCTCAAAACACACCCATAACTCATTAAGAGAATAAGCTCAACCCTGTAAAACCATGCGCCGCAGTGCAGAGTGGATTTTTCCATCCTTAAAATAGCAAAAGTATATTCTGACATGCCCTTAAAGGGTCATGACACTCACCACTGTTGGTTCAGGTCTACCTTAGAATTTTTTCAAAAGATGCATCATAGTGGGCGTGGAGCTCCGCGATCAGAGGCAGGAGTGGGCGTGGCCAGCAGGGAAGAAGAAGGGGAGTGAACAACTGTTGTCAGTCGGCTCACAAAATGATAGTCAAACCGTGAGGAGACGCATTAGTTTATAGTTTACAAAGTTAAAATGCAAAGAAATAAACAGTAATTGAATGCCCTGCTACATTTGTTATTCGTAATTTCATATACAGATAACCACCCTG